ATATATATATATATACATATTAGAAATAGAGAAGTAATAGCAGTGCTTAAATATTTGAACCACATTATAGATTTATACACATGTTTTGACGTAACCTACAGATTATAGTTTTGTTTTAGCTGCCTTTTGGATTTTAATTATTTAACGATGACAGAATCACTTGTGAAAATGTTTTACAATTATTGCTAACCTATTTAGTAAAACATTATCACAATTACATAGGCCTACCGATATTGTAAAATATTTGTGAAAATTATTGAATCGGTAAATAATTGTGCTTTTTTATTCTAACCATTTTTAGGTGCTGGTTGAATAGCGAGTCTGGTGCCAAATGGACTTTTATTGTTCCCGTGTGCCTCACTAGTCTGGTAAAGTCCTTATTTTTGTGTTATTTAAGAACACAGATATTGATTAAACGTTAACTGGGTGGAATTAGGAACCGATAGAAGTGCATGGTCTCAAAAGCCACTATGCTTGATGATGTTTGGCCTCTAAAGTATCAGTATTTTTCTTCTATTTTACATGCTCCTCGTTGGAAGTCCTTACAAAAATACAGCATTTGCCATTTTTGTGTAAAATACTGAGAAGAAAAAACATCTTTTTTTAATAGTTAATTGTCTGTGTATAATTGCTTGTTTTTTGTGACAAAAGAAATCATTCTTATATGTTTTATATAATAGTAAAAAAAAAAATAGAAAAATGTATATAATAGCTTGTCAGATTGTGCTCGTATAGTGGTGTATTCGCTTACCTTTTCTTTTTATACTAACAAACTGAACATTTCATAGATTGTCCTCGTACAGTTGGCGGTTATTGGCTACGTTGCTTTCATGAAATCTAAACTACCAAACCAAACTGAAGACGAAATGCAAGCACTTAAACGAATGAGGTTAGATAAACAGAACAGTTAATACACAGTAACTGAAAGGACCACTGATTAATCTCAGATAAGATATTACAGAACATACTCTAATATCGAAATGCACGCCATCGTGTCGTGATTCAATATTTCAACAATAATTATACCATCATCAAGAATGACTGACATAATTAATGTCGAAATTGAATCACGACACGATGGCGTGCATTTCGATACTTGGAGTAATAGTAATAATAATAATAATAATAATAATAGTGTAGTTTTATATGCGCACATATCTATCTAATGTAAGATGTTCAGGGCGCTTGATATGTGGACTAGGAACTCGATCAATGACTTTCTTTACCCTAAGGGTCCCTTCGTGTCTGTGCTACCCGGTAACCCGGTACCAGCAACTCTCGTCGTCTACCACAGGGGTCTGTTTCAGTACACCGGGGTATCCCCCTACTCGTCTCGAAGGATCTGGGTTCTTTATAGTGTACACGAGCCATTGTATACACTGGGCCTACGGTTTATAGTCCTTATCCGAGAAGACTTGTTCAACCACTAGAACCATAGGCGAGCATGCCGTTTGAACTAGCGCCGATATTATCGCTATAGCTTGCGGCGCCCCTGCTAACCGCTCAGCCATTTGACTCGCCAAGTATGTATTATACTATCTTTATACAGTCAGCCAATTAAAACAGAAACAAATTTTCAAAATAAGAAAATTACTATAGCATACTAATATTTAGACCGAAGCTGGGAACAGTAGCATCAAAGAAAATGCTGGGAACAGTAACATCAAAGGAAATTTTTAACCATACGATGTGCAGCTGTACAGCTGTTCTCATAACAATTGACAACAAATTGGCATAAAAGTGATTTACACATTTAGTTAACAGATGAGTTCTATAGGTAAACTTGTTTAAATTCAAGATCTCAAAAACCTACCAGTAATATACTAATCCGAAGTGTAATTCCAGTAATTTGGTTCACCTGCGTGGCACATTTACTCAATACTCACAAAACAAAATATGTTTATGATTCTAGAAAACTTTATAATGTTGAAGCTATTAACTATAATGAACTCATTGATCAGTTTGAAATCACAAAGAATGATACATTGTAGTTAAAGAATATCAAAACGGTAAAATAATAGAATCATAGAATCACTCATTACACATTCTGTCTCTTATACACATCTAGATGTGTATAAGAGACAGAGGTTAGATAAATAGAACAGTGGCGGCACCAGGATTTCCCCGACGGGTGTGTACAAGGTCTCCGGGGGGGGGGGGGGGGCTTATGTCCGCGACGAGAAAAAAGTGGGGGTGGTCGGGCATCGCTAAAAAACCTTTCGAAAGTGGTCCAGGGGACGTAGCCCCCCCACCAAAATTATGAAAATTGGGGGTTTCACAGGCTTATTTTAATCTATTTTAGAGTCTATTAATATGTTTAAAAAATACATATATTTTTTTGAAATTGTTTTTTCCCCCGACGAATTGTGGTTTTCTCCCCGGGGGAGGGCCTCCCCGACGGGAGAGGGGCTGTGGCCCTGCCTCCTCTCCCCCCGTAGCGCCGCCTCTGAGCCTAATACTGACCACTACCGACGCTACAAGTGTAGAACACACTATATATTGTTTATTGTGGAATGGAAGTTTCCAATAAACCTTGTGCCTTTTTTGGATATTGTTGCTAATGTCCCAAAAAACGACAAGGTAAAACCAAGTTAAAACATAATTATAAACCTGTGTGTAAGTGGGACAATTCCGTAATCCTGGAACTGTTTTTACTGGTCAGTTCTAAGTTTGAATGACACTTCGTGTTATTGGTTACAGTTAGAAAGAATACTGCAGTGCTATATAACCACGTTCTGTAAAGAATGTATTTTATTTTGTTTTAACAGAAATGTGTTTCAGGGTCTGTTGCTTCTTGCACCAGCTGTTGGCATTTCGTGGATTTTTGGTGTCATCATCATTTTTTGTGACTGGAAGATCATGGAATACATTTATGTTATATTAAATTCCATGCAAGGATTCTTCGTCTGGCTTTCGCAGTGCGTCTTTAGCAATGAGGTGATTTGATGTTGATTTGAATATTATATTAAAAACAATTTGTCCTTTTGAATCATTGTAGATAGACTCTTTAGTTTAGCTGACCCAAATAGTATTTTTAGACAAACATAATCCTTTTAGACGTTTTAATCCTAGAAATTTTAGTTGACATAGCAGCATTTGTAGGGCTGTTTAAAAGATGAACATTGCAGACAGCAAAAAGAAAACAATCTTTACGCATAAAAATGGGAAATAGTTAAACTGGTAACAATTAATGTATTCCAATTGTATTTTAGGTGCGACAAGCATTCAAAAAGAAGTTTGCTAATCGGATAACGCGGGAAAGTAACACGACTACTGTAAGCAGTGTTACCCACAACACCGACCATATCGTTGTTGAAGACATGTAAACACAGATTTTGAGTGCATGATTATTCGTTAGACAAACTTTGGTGACTAAACTAAATTTATATTATTAATACGTTGTTGTTGGTGAGGTGACACAACACCTTTATGTTTAAACCAATTGTTGGCCTATACTGTTACCTTATAAATTTAAATGTACTAATTAATTACATCTTGGTATAATATATTTTAATAACATGTTTGTTCTATATATATAAACCAACTTTTAATACTTTACTTATTTTGAAGTGTACTAAAGTTATATGTCTCTTATACACATCTAGATGTGTATAAGAGACAGACCACCAGAACCATAGGCGAGCGTGCCGTTCGAACCAGTGTTGGTGAGGTGACACAACACCTTTATGTTTAAACCAATTGTTGGCCTATACTGTTACCTTATAAATTTAAATGTACTAATTTATTACATCTTGGTATAATATATTTTAATAACATGTTTGTTCTATATATATAAACCAACTTTTAATACTTTATTTATTTTGAAGTGTACTAAAGTTATAGGCCATAAATGGGTTTATGGATATTGAATTGGCAAGTAATGCCTGAAAACCATTGCTGTAATTATTTTTACTCTAATAGAGGGCAGCTTAGCTCGGCCGTCATTTGGATGTAGGCTAATATTTGAAATTTCAATAACTCACTGTCATTCGGATGCAATGTTTAATCATGTTGGTTTCGTGTGATCGTTGTTGTAAGCGCCTCGAGGTTGGTTTCGATGGGAGGCGCTATACAAATGTATTGATTTGTCCTAGTGTTAGAAACTTTCTTTGGGTTTATATTATAAGGTTGGAGGTAAATTGAAAAGTTATCTATATTTTAGGACATGCTCAACCGCTGTGTTTCTAATCAGATACCACATCAACCTAAATTATCTTAATAATCACCATCTTCATCTTTATTTTATCGTCGTTATGGTCATCGGATATTAATGCTACTGAAATGTTATACTTAAATTCTCAACACAATAAAAATATATTTAGAGCACCACTTTTATGAATAAATATCAACAGGATGATATTAAGTTTCGTACAGGTTATAAACAAAACAATGTAGATGCCTCCTTTCGAATTAATCCTCAGAATAAAGCTGGACCAAAATAGGCATTATCTTAGAGGAAATGTAATTAATATTCATACACTGGCAAAAAACAAAACAATTTAGATAATGCCTTCTTTCGAAAAGAAATCAATCGTTCAATGCTGTATAATAGTAGTTAATGCCTTATTCCAAATTATTTGTAGTGGTGTGTGTAGATAATGCCCATTTAAAAAAATAAATATCATATTTAGAGTAATATTTTTGACTTTATATTGAAATAAGGTGACAGATTATACCCTCAGTCATGTAAGACAAAAAACTTTTGTAAAAAATGTAGTTAATGCCTTTTTACGAATCAGCAAGTGAACATCGATTTATATTATTTTAGATGTTATATTATTTAGATGTTATATTATTAAATTTAGCTGTTATATTATGTTGTATTGTATGTTATGTTGTGTTGTATATGTACTTCAAAAATATATTGTATAATTTTCACATCTACATTACATTTTTTACGATTGCTAACTTCCTTTGTATAGCTTTATTCTACTGTTATTGTTTTTAAATATTTGATATGGTTACCACTATTTATTTACATTACAACTACACATTATTTA